ATATTGAATATTAATCAGAGGAAAAGCAGTTTGATGTGGGACTAGTAGAGATTTTGGGGTTTCTCAGTTTCACAAAGAACTAGTAAAATCAGAATAGAAGATAACTATATAACAACTGCATGGTCAGAAATATTAAACTACTCTGTATTTGCCTTTCAATGTTAACCAGTAATTTTGTGCCTGGTAAATCGCATTTCACAGAAAAATAATTTTGCTAATAATCATGCTTGCTGATTATATCTATTAACAACTGTGTTTATGACTGCTGTGAGAATATTTGCTGAAGTAGTTTCAAAATTCTCATATTCATAGTTCAGATCAAAATTGCTATTTTTTAATTTTCATGTGGAAATGGGCTTACAATTCGGTGCAGTCACCTATATTCGAAATCTCAAGTTGGTGAGGCACCTACTTTCTTAGGTATCGGGGTGATCAATATAGCAGAATATGATATAAGACAATAATTTATAATCTTTATTCATAATCTAAAGAATCTTTCACATATCCATCCACATCCATACATACAAAAACTAAACAACATATTGCATAACATAACACGAAAACAACATTGTATTGAAAATCTTATTCAACAGGCAAGATTGAAACAGACAAGACATGGATTCCAAGCTGCCACATTGTTTATGAAATCTAAATAATATGTTTTAACAGCAGCATTTCTACAAGAACTTCTTCACATATTTAACCTGAAACATAGAATATGTTTCTTTCCTGGAAGTATACAGTTTATGATTTCTAATATTAATGAGATATCTGGTTTTATTTAATCCATGTTTTAACCGCAAAATAGCAGAACGTAGATTGCTATCGGGATTCAATGTAATTAATGTCCTTTTTCAGCGGTGACATAAATGACGTCATTTGTGGCTATAGATAGATTATTTCTGTGTTTCTGCTGATTATTACATTTATATGAAGGATTAGGAACGGTGGATTTATTGAGCACTTAACAGTTAAGGATTCTGGGATTACAATACATTCAAAATCACCTGGATTTATTCTGCCATTAAGGAGGAACACTAAAATTTGTAAATGACAGGTGATGTCATCAGCAATCATATATCCACTGAAAATATTATAGAAATATGTGTACTTTAAGCGTTTCTCATTTATATAAATGCCTACCCTGAGGTTACTGTCTAGTGTATCATCCTCTTACTAGAATCACTCATTTTAGAGTTTGTCCTTCAACCAATCAGACAGCACTATAATAAGCCTTACCAATATTTTCATTCACATACAGAACCATGGTTGACTAATGACAGACTCTGATTGGCTCAGAGGTTTATTTATTGGTTATATAAAGAATATAAGTCATAATGCATTATTCTGGCAAAGGGTACATTAAAACCTTTCTAATCTGAACACATCTGGAACCAGCCAAAAGTGTTCAAATTTTAAGCTGAGGTGTTCATATTTCTGTTTATATTAATAATAATATTTCTGGTTATTAACGTGCGAGTCAATGGGAATTAACAAATTTGGGACCACGAAAAAGTGTTCATATTGAGTAGTGTTTGGATTTGAGGGATGTTTGGACGTACAGGTTCTACTGTAGTTAAGTCTACGCTAGAGGCAGAGCCAAAGACTAGTAATATATTATTGGGGATTTATCATATATAGTTAAGTACCTGTTGGCAAGCTGAGCAACTTGTTTCATCTCTCATCAGCCGAAGATATCGATGTTGTAACCATATATCTGCAAGCCAGCTTAATATAATAGTCACTTTTAGGGATATATACACAGTGTAGATAGAACATATATACAGGACATTACAGTCTTAGGATACTATTACATTTAGTATAACTGCAAACCAATTATTTTAATTCATTCGCAGAAAAACTATTGTTCAGGTAAGATGTATATAGGATATTTATTTCATTTAAGCTGAGATATATATTATATTATAATGCAGTGTTCTCCACAAGATTTTTCAGGTGGGGGCAAGCAATTTTCAAAATCTCAGGTGGGTGATGCGCCCACTTCCTTTAATGATTGGGAGATCACTGTAATCCTTCATAAAGAGATGTATATGGCTTAATGATATTTGGTATTTCAGTGTTTAATATTTATACCAGAAAATGGAAAAGCTGCTGATGATGAATAAACCATATAATTAAACTTATCTTATTAAACGTATCTACAAAACAGGAAAAATTATATGACAATGATGAAAATCTTGCTGAATCTTTCTGCATACCTTGGACATGTAAAAGTGAGTTTGTATAAATCTCAAAGTTTATGGTGTATAGACAATAACATGGTGTTTGAAAAGCAAAGCAACTAACAAGTTGTTGATGAACATTTTAGCATATGATTTCACATTAGTAATAGATAGAATAGATATGATTATTTGAAGTATGTGATTTAAACCATGATTATGTTCACTGAATGATAGCATACACTTAAATTAATACATAATACATATAAGTCATTAATGATAGAGTGTTGGAATTCTGGGGAAAATTTGTTAACATTTGGCTTAAATATAATATTTTGATCCAATGGGTACACTCAAATCATCGCTCCCAAGGATTTCATCCTACACAGTTCTACACTGTATTTAATCATATATCTTCCATCTCATTTATCAATTGCATTCTATGAGACCAGCTGCGTTAAAACCTGTCTTAGTGAACACCTCACTCTAGTGAACACATGTGCTTAGTAAATACCACTTTAAGATACATTTTACATTGACTCTTGTATAAAATCCCACCTGAATGAATATAAACCAAAAACTGAACATCCGGGCAAGAGCCATACAATATCTGACCCTCATCTAATCCCTGTCCTTTTTGAAGCTGTATTGACAAAAGTTGAGAATGAACAAACCAAGACTTTTACAATTAATTTCCAGAAATGTGCTCTTAATCTATTGGTTTCCAATTATTTCCTTGAAACTTAACCTGGCTGTTTATTTGTATTTAGTTCTTTTCTGTGTTTTTTTCATAATGTTTTCTGAGTAAATAATGAAAAAAGTCATTTTTGAATTCTATCAGTACATGTTGATACAAAACTTAAAACACTGTTTACCAATCATTTTTTATTTGATTATGTATTTGATTATCTGTGGTGAACATATTATTGTAGCCTCCAACTTTTTGTGGATGGTGTTCAGTGGTTGGTATTCAGAGTTTGGTGTTTGAAGTTCAGCATCTGTAACAAATGGCAAGTAGTGGCATTTTGCCTGTTAATGGCTTGAAGCATATTTGGACAATAGCAGCACTATAGAGTATACAGGGGCAAACTTGGAAATTAACAAGGCAGTCCAAAAAAAAATTTGTAATTTGGCCCAGCAGATTTATATAACTTCACTGATTTTGATATAACTCACAGGGGTTTAAAATATTGATACACAGAACTTAATCGGCCTAAGTTTGTGGCTTGGTTAGAATCGAGACTAGAGAGAGAGTACTTGCATAACAAAATTGTTAAGAACATCAATTATTTTTATGTCTCAGACTTAGGCCATAAAAAATGAATGCAATTTAATCTAGGCAATTATTAACATGTAGCTCTCCTTAGTCCTATTGTTTGTAATATACATCAACTATTGTTGAATTCTCCTGCCGAATATTACAGACACTCCAAGTGAACACTAGTACGTATCTTGACTCTTAAAAATCCATCGAAATCTTGACACTCCATAAGCAGGTCTTCATGAGTCACTGTCCAAAAAGTCAGGAACACACATGCAATAATTGTTAAAAAAACTGTTTAAATTATCTACTTGAAATCCCAGGTCTGCTATGAATACTTTTCATTTGCAAAGAAGTGTAATCTAGGTATGAGGTAAGCGAAAATATTTTGTTTTTTTTCAGAATGAATTTGAAAGTGTTTCTTGCCATTTATACATGTTTTTTTGAATTTTTACCCTGATTCTCGATTACCAAAATTAAAAATTTATAGAAAAAACGTGATAAAAGTGATATTGTGGCACTTGGAGTGTCTGATATTAGTTGCAATTTCTTCTATTTATATATATTTATGATGAAAGGTAATTGGTTCCAAATGGGGATAGAATATAAAAATGTATTAGGGATATACAATTTATGCAATTCATGTAATTTCTATTAATATTCTGTCTTGTGGTCAATTCAGGCTTAAGGTAGACTCAGTAGTACAAACTAATGGGATTATTAGGTCGGTGTTTTCATAATGCGATTCATAGTTATCTCACACACATACAACCAACTTTATTTAGTTTCACCTTATATGGGTAGAATTGAATGCTGAGAAAAAACACACACAACCAAACATAATGCTCTAAGGACAGTTGTGCATGTAGAAAATGTACATTATGCTTCCTCCCGTATGTTTGAGCGTTAACATCCGCTGTCTCTAGTTAGATCAACTAACAAAACAACTTTTTGGGGGGCTGTTGAGTTGGCCGAGAGCGCTTGGGCACCAGCACGTTTGAGCTTGGCATATGGGTGCTGTAACCACAAGGTTGTGAGTTTGAGATCTGTGTGCTCCTTGTTTTTATTCATTACTTATTCTATATATTATTGATTTATTTGAAAAACTCATCTTATAGAGCTGTCACACTGAGCCTGCGTGGGCTTACTGTTTGCCACGGTGTGAATACTTTGTATTGGGGCAGAGAGTGGGGCACAGCATAGACAGTGTAGACACTAAGGGGCTGAAACCTGCTGGTCAAAATGATATTACGGACCAGTTGCAATGTTATTTTCCTATACCTAGTGAAAAAATCAACTGGTCCGTATCAAAAGTAACCAGATAATGACCAGTGGACCGGCTGTTAATGACAACACTGAGCATAGATACTCCAGCAGGATATCTACATTAAATGCAAAAATTAATTGATTAATTCAAAATTAATGCCTAAATGTGAGCCCCTATGGCCAATGTGACAGTTACTTAAGATCATAAATGTCCTGTTTTTAGGAGTTTAATTTGAGAAATGAATTCTATTATTACTATATATCTATCTATAATTGATATTTCTTCCTTACAGGTTCACCCATTGAGCATGTAGTAAACAGCCCCACCTATTGAGCTACTCCGCTGTCATGGGGGAGAAGGGCCAGACAGATAAGGGGTCTAATGGTAAGATCTTTTTTAAATTATAACTTGCATTGTTGTTTATTTAGAACATTTCTCAAATGTAAATAACTACGTGGACTATGGAATACAAATAAAATGAGATTTCTGCCTCTATTTGACAGAAGGCCTAAGAAAAGTAGAGGATTTGTTGAACTTCCATGTATAATTAATTGTATGCCATGGGTAAATGAGATTAAACAGACTTTTTCTTTCTATAATATTTTACCTGACTTATCTATTCTGCTGGCTTGTTCCGCTGGTATGAGGGCAGACAGGTGGGGAAGTATAAGATAAATATTTTATCGATCATGAAATGGTAGAATTTTACCAGTCTCTTTCGTATATTGTATTACTTCTGAAATGTTACGTGATGGAGAATTTCCTTAAGAGATCTACGTCAAAGTTATATGATATACTGTTTGACATTAACAGCTTCAATTATATCAATGTTATAAAAGTGGAAATTACATGTCGTTAAAGACAATTAAATGTCGCGATTTATTTTCGAATCAGTTTTATTTTATTATTTTTCAAGGGTTTATTTTCAATAATCAAGATTTCGTTGATTTTATTACAACTCATTTCCTGATTTTATTACATTCTGGTGTAATTGCTTACTACTCATTGTTGAAATGAGGTAATTTAGCTAAATTCTTTCAACACTGTCTTACATTACGGATTACTGGGCCTGAGTTACCATATTGATTGGCATATTTGCAGACGTAGCTGTCCCGTCATTATTTTGCACTATACTTTTAGTGTCATACAAGATGGATCGGTTGCCTACATTGCCAGGAAGAATTTCCTCTGCATCCATAAATTTACATCTATAAAAGCAAATGTGTGTTTAGGGATGGAAAAGGATAAGAAGTTCATTTTAGTTGGATATTTCAAATAGATTAAGGTCCAGGGCATTTTCGGTGAAAAATATACAAAAATGATCAAAAATCATGTAAATGAGAGAATAGAGTTGTAACTGCTGATGTACAATTCTTATTGATTTTGTATGATCCCCTGTAGTTATAGATTATCACTGGAATATCAACTACACTTGATGGTTGTTGTCATCTTTAGAAATGTTGATATACATGTTTTTCATATTTATGTTATGAAATTGGACTTTCAAAAATACAGAAGCTCTGAGAATCATGAAATAGGACAGTTTCTGGCAACCATTCTTCCCCTAATATTTATTGTGGTCGACAAAAATATGTATTTTTGGGATGTCTTGTACCAAAAGTGACTTTTCATTTAGTCCATTAGATATTTATTCACATGAATACAAATAAAGATGCATCAAATGTTGCCAGTTATAATATCTTGATCCCAAATGACATCCTATCAATCAAACATGACAAATCTGATTTTTCCAAAAAGCATAGTAATCAGGCAACTTTCATGGCTTTTATTAAAAAGGAAAATAAAAAACTCATGAAAACCAATAAAGAATATACACGTCTTGAATAGGAAATAGCTTTGTTACTAATATAAATGCTGTAACTATGAAAAGTTTTATGAATATACAATGTATATCATAATACTAATATATGTGTAATTCCATTTTCAACAGTCTCTTTTTATATTTCACCACCATGAAATATTGAGATATTGCCATGGCATTCAGTGTTGGTGCTTGTATCAGCATTGGGTATCTGTACCAGTTGTTACACATTCACAATTGTAACCATGTAAAGCTATTCTGTTATGGCAATATCTTGTTGATTTTAAAAGACAGAGTTTTAATGAATTGCAGTTCTAACGATAGATATGTTAGCCTAAATATAATAGATTCACCTGTCTTTCTTAGATTCTAGTCTGTTCCTAATTTCCAAGTTCTTGAAAGAATGAACATCTTACCAGTTATTACATAAAGTAATCATCTGAATTCCATAGAGAAATAATTAAAAGTTGTTTACCCTCTATTCTCATCAGCTAGCTACACTACTGAAGAGTGCAGGTTGTTCCGTAAAAATGGGGAAATGAAATGAAACCCTGGGAGAAGGTGGGTCATCTTCCAATCATCAACAAGTACAAAAACTGCACCTTTTTTGGCATTGAATAACTTGTTTATTATACAGGGTCTGAAAGAGTAACCTTTTTGGGGTCAAGGTCTTCAATGCAGGTCATAAATGGTGTTAGCTAAGTTTCTAAAAGTTCAAAACTACTTTAGATGTCATGGCATGACATATTAGTCAGGTTCAAGTTCTTAAATTTTCTTTTTTGTTGTTATGTAGGTTGAGCTACTTTATCTTTTGGATGGCTTTGAATTCATCAACAGATTGTTATTCATAGTGATGTTTCTCTTTAGAACCTAATAATTGGAGTTATTGTCATCATCTTGTGCTGCTGGGTGTGTGGGGGCAGATATCACATGAATCTTGCAAATGTTGCTTATCCCTTCATCTTGAAATTTTTACAAATGCAAAAGCAGACTTGTGCCAAGGCCTGATCGGGTTTTGGGCATGCTGGGTAAATAACATGGTGGCCATTTTGCTCTTCAAAGTGCGATATTTATCACTCAGTATCTGTTTTAGTTATCCTGTACCATCAGAAAATGCTCCTACTTAATCATTTAAAATACATGGGTGAAAGAACCATGGCCCGTGTCTGAGAATCTATGCTATAACTATGTATTATTCAAGATTACAGGCTTATAAGAAATTAGACATAATTTTGGTCATTAACATAGATTTATATCATTGTGCTTTAGACATAATCCAATAAGACTAGCCCTATTTTAGCGGTGTATTTTTATTTTTTGATTTATAGTACATAGAGCCTCGGGCTTCCTGCAAAAAATGCTATTGTAGGTATTGTTTATGTTAAGTGTATAATGTTTTGTTTTGGTATAATACATATCGATCATTGATGTTTTAGATTACCATTGGGGTTGAGATAAAAGCACCATCCATTTTGAAAAATCAATTACCTCTCGCTGGAAGATGGATCTGTTCAAGGTTGAACCTATAAACTATACCTGGGTGAAATTGGAGATTTGATCAACATTCATTGCATAACTGTTTCATGGGAGTTTATTAATTAGCTAGAGGGTAATGCATTCTAGCTCCCTTTATGAGATTAGCTCAGTGGCTAGTATACCCTGCTTATGAGCTTAACTTCATCTTCCCTCTTTTATTAAGAGATGATTCACAAATGCTCCTTGTATCTTATCAGGGCTGTCATCAGAATAGCTGTGAGCTGTCAAAGAGAAAGCCCATTGAAATGCACAACATTACATATACATTGCCACTCATTTTACATTGAAACTACTACAAAAAGCTAGGACAGCTACATTTGTGATTTTATTTGCATCAAAATCATCTATAAAAGCCAGAGGGCAATGTGACTAGCTGCTGGGCATCCAGGGTAACATGTTTTTGGACACTGGCCATTCCACAGATAGGTTTCTTGGGTTGTATCTGCAGACAAGGTGTCTAGAACAGATCCGCTGAAGTGTTAGTAGCTTGATTAATATAGTACCCCAAACGTGGGAATTGAACGCCAAGTCGAAAAAATTGTAACTCGATTCTCCTATTATTAATAATAGTATTATAATATCTGTAGATTAATTATGATACAGATACATATTATAATGTGGTATTTATATTTCCGATCTTTAGTAATTTTTCCTCTAGAATATAAAACCTCTCATGTTCTACTTCCTCAAAAATTTCACCTGGCGTGAGTTCTTGATCTATTGACCACTTATAATAATTTCCAAGAATCCATATAATATAGGTGATTGGTAGTATGCTTATTTCTGAGGAAAATAAAAAAAATACTGATTAAAAATAATTAATGCGTTTGTGGCATTGTAAGCTACCTTGAATACTAGACTTTGTTTAACTGCATTTAATGAAACTCATAATCGTCTTACTCATCAATAATTGCTTGATATGCTTCAATTAAGGAGTAAAGAATCCTGTACTTCTTAATTAGAAATTTAAAAGCATGAGTGCAATGTGCATTTACTAACAATTTGGCTTCTTTGGTTCATGATTCTTCGCAATAAAGCAGAATTTTTATAGCACAAATTGACTTTGTGACTATTAATTCTGTTCAATTTTCGCCAGTAGCAAGCATTTTAGGTTTATTGACCATTGGTGATTTGAAGTCCCCGAGTTGGACTTAAACTTAAACGACGACAAACAAGGCCTGAATATTGATTATAAATTGGTTACTTCTAGACTATTGATTCGCCATTATCATTCTTTTGTAATAAAGTTATGTCTAAAATGAGAGCTGGGTTGATAGAGCACATTTTGATAATAATTATTTTTTATTTGATTTGCTGGTATTGATTCCTGGGCCAGTAACCTCTTAAGTCATTTCAAGTCTTAATACGGATTATGGCTTAATTTATTGGCATTTTTTGATACAGTTTACTATTATTCTCGAAGCGTTTCTGTAAGTCCCTTAACAATCAACTAAAGCTGCTTGCTTTATGGCTTCATAATTCAAGATAAATGCAAACTAAACATGAAATGAGTAGAACTAGCAAGGAATAAAAAAAACAAGCATGAAAATATCACTCTGATCACTGAATTATTTAAATAAATATAAAGTAAAGTAATATAAAGTTAGTTTATTCATTTTTTCATGAGAAAATGTTGAAATAGACATCAGCATAAAGAAAGAAGATCGGGAACAGGAAGCTTTTGTATACAAATAGAAATGTTATCGAAATTACAACTAAAAAATCATGATGAATGAATGAATGTTTTTCTAAAGTAATCCATAAACTTTGTTTATCTTCATTGTTTTTCTATGCTGTCTTAAAGCCAGGTTGTTGTTTTCTCACAATTGATGCTAGCCCTTATAAAAAAAACAACCATTTTTTCCGAAATTCAATGGTTTCATTGCATATCATGTAACCATCATATCAACCTTGAAGATCAAAGGAAAAATCATTATATCAACCATTCAAAACCATTGCGCAACCATTACTTCACCCAATCTTTTCAACCCTTTTTACATAAAGTTACAATGGTTACGCAACCATT